TATGCAGCATTTTTCAAATTGCCAAGCAAAATGGAAACTTCAATGGCAAGTTGTCAACTGACGTAAACTAAAATTTTGTTTTTCACAGCCTTCTATCTTCTATGTTACATCAACAGAATAATAAAACGATTGTAATATGGAAATTAAGCATAGCCACCAAATTTAGATTGAAGTACGAGTTTATTTGCAAAAGAAAAACTATAACTATAGGGAAATTAAAATAACTTTGGTAGCACATCATAATACGACCACCAGCAAACTCCATAAGACGACGCATGATGTCATTTGCTGTACTCCATTCGCGAATTTCAAGTTCCAGAGCTTTACGCCCTGGGCTATTCGAGAACGGTTCTGAAAGGAGCTGTGCGCGTTAGCCTGGTGCCTCCATATGGCGCGGAACAGTTCTGAACTTTATGATTCAAGATGACGTGCAACGAAAGTTGTTTTAATTTCCCATTTTTTATAAAGTTGGGATGTTCTAAATGAGATAATATTATGAAAAATAGCATTTCTAAAGGTTACTTTTTACCACTTAGACTGTCCGCACACGGGTCGTTTGACTTTCAAAGCAGAAGCGTCTCGAACTCCAAGCGAATCTTCCTCCACTCTACCTTCGTATGATTCGTATGTAACTAATAGTATGAATCACATCAACACCGCATCGATCGCCAAACGACCCGTTCGTGGACATACTATTATTTACGTAGGAAGTAGAGTTCGATCGATATTTCGGCTTCGAGTTTGAGACGACCTGTGTGTGTACTGTCTTAGATTTCAATTCTAGCCCTGTGTGCGACGGGACGAAACGTTTCGGGGTCTAGGTTATCTACTCTCTGGTCTATGACAAAATAAGGTGAGTCGTATTTACTGTCCTCCATTCACGCAGTTGTGCAGCTCTAAGCTATTCAAGAATCAATTTCAAGTTTCAAATCAAATTTTATATTTAAATATTTGTTTTTCTTTAAAAATTATTTTTTTTTCAAAGAATCAACTCAGGGAACAGTGAACACGTTGCCAAACGTATGAAATAAACCGAGAAACTGTGCGCATTGCTAAGAGACGTGGAAGGGGATATAGCAGATTTGTCGCAGTCGACCGGGTGACCCAATTAGTACCTCTCAGTACTGAAAGTTCTAGGGAAAGGTGTACAGTGAACTGAATGAAGGGCAGCGACGTCTGAGGCAGCAGAGGGGAAGCGTGTAAAAAATCTAGTCATGTCATAGGTGTGCAAATTTATTTTAATCAGATTATTATTAAAAATATTAATCAGTTTTAATAAGTTCATTGGAAGTAAATACAAATTTTGGTAATTATTTACTTAGATAATAATAGATATACTTAATATAATATTAGGTATAAACTAAGAACGCTGTGGTATTTTTGGTATTTTTTAAACTGAGTCTTAAACTTCAAATGACTACCTAATAGGTACTTATCTAATAAAAAACAAATAGGTAAAAAAACTCAAAACATTTGGAAATAAATAAATAATATTAAAAGTATTATAATAAACTATGAACGGTCGAAACCTAAACTCTAAATTATAAATGTCTCTTTGGTAATGTAAGTACTTAACTATTAAATAAAAAACAAAAAACAAATACTAGGTCTATGAAACACCCTGTACATATAAGAGTCTAATTTTCTTTATCACTTTCATCGTCAGTGTCGGTGTCGGAATCATCATCACTGCTGTCATCAGTTTGAATAATTATAGGTTCCACTTCTTCCATGTACTGGTCAACCTCCCAAAATGTATTTTCAATGTTGATTACGTTTTTATTTTTTATTTCTAGATTTTCTCTTCAAAATGCGGGATAAAATTTTGTATACCTAGGTGCAGCTGATTAAAAAAATTATACGACTTGATTAACTTATTTTTTATTTTAAGGATGTATTATTTTTATGTCTCTATTCTTTATTCTTGATATTTTTATTAACTTGCAATAAGTTGAGTTATTATTGTTTGATAAAAATCCCCTTTGTTGCAGTCTTAATGGACCTCACTTTACCAAAAACAGAAATAAAACTCTTATGGTCATGATCAGATAAATAAATTAAATTAAACTGGTTTCAAAACTTACCACTTGCCCTAATATTATTAACTATTCCAAAAACGTCGTTACTTTGCCAACATTTTCTAAAAGTTAAATCATTATCCAGCCATGTCTCGTCAATGTAAATTATGTTACATCCTTCTTTTCTGTATTTCCGAATTGACTTTATATATTTATACCGCCAATGAAGAATCGTGGGTCTTTCCATTTGGCATTTTTTTGGCATATCCTTTTTAGCGTTTCCGAAAATGAAATCCATTGGCCTTTAATAGCATCCTCAATGTTTCGCGACTATACGGAGAATTCATTATTTCTCGCAGCTTAAGGAGTAATTTTTTAAATGTAGGAACGACTTTTAGCTCCAAATAAAACCTTTTTATTGTTTGTCTAATGACAGGAAAATCTTCGAAGTCTTTCATAAGAGACAAGCGGGTTTTCTTCTTAGGTGGTGATGACAGCATCTCAGCTGGACGTTCCCGTTGCCGCTCCTCATCTTCTCTATGAATTTTGCGGACTGTTTTTTGAGAAACCCCAGTATAATAGAGACACGCGATCAATTTTTCTTTTTATGGGTAATTTAAAAGCATTGTTTCTGGCTTCTTCATCGCAAACTCTATATACATTAGCGATAATTTCCCTAGATTGGCCAGCAAGGGGTTTCCTTTGTAAAAAAATATTTCGTTCCATTATTAAAAAAAAACTATTTAAGGTTTAAGGATTGCGAAAACCCTACAAATATAAATGTATCAGGAAATGTGTCATTTATATATGACATTTTTTTTTCATGCAAATACTTTATTACACACAACAACCAAAAACGAGTCCAGTTAATAAGTGTAACAAAATAAACGAATTATAAATTAACCAAACCAAACAACTATTACTAATTAAAAAACACAGTTGGAACTTTTTCCGCCTACGCCTGTGACCAAAGTTCGGCAACGGCTTCCGATCTCAGGTAGGTACACAATTTAATTTTTTGTCTCCTAGGAATAATCTCTCATCCTCTCACTCTGGCCCACGGCGAAAAATCGCCCGAGGCAGCGCTTTTGCCGGTTCTATTTTGTAGTAGGTATATTTCAAATAGTTTTTTAAAGAAAAAGTGGTAATAGTAATTTTATTCTGCATTTCCCCATGTAAATAAAATAGCAAATCCCAGAAGACAATACTACTGAGAAAATTCATAAGGTTAAGTAATGAAATAGAAATTTAAAATTTGTACTTCTAGTCTATACAAAATAAATTAGGATTATTACGAGAAAATTGTGACAACATCGTAAAATGCAAGGAAGTTTTTTGCTCTCATTCTTTCGACCTCCCTTCATTGGGTTGTCAGACTGTACATCATGCGTTCAGCTTCACGATTTAATTACGTCTCGTGATACTTCATCTGTTTATTTATTAACGAGTCGTTGTAATTTTCCCTACTGCTTGAAAACTTTTAAGTGCAAGTTAGAAACACTTGCATTTTTGGTAAAAATCAGTGGAATTGAGTTGGTGTTCGACAGTGGTGGCGCTATTAGAACTCTGAATTCAAAAATTGATATTTCGAAATGTATTAGAATTAATTGATTGTAGTTTTTCAAAATCTTTCTTCGCAGACAGTATGCAAAAATCTTTATAAATAAAAAAGTTACACGATTGCTGAAAACTTCTATGAACTAAAAGCAAATGGATGGGTTGTTTAAATTTTAGAACGGAAAAAAACAACCTTATCGAATTTTTCTTATGTAAACATATTGTAAATGATCCGATCTTCAAAATAAAAGAAGCTTCAATATCTAAAGTGGTTCTTAAGTTATGGCGTGTTATGGGTAAAAAAGTTGAGGTTTTAAATTATCGCGATTACTGATGTTTTCTCGTAAAATGGACACCCTAACGATATCCTTATAGTTCCATTTCAAATGCTCAGAAACATATCTAATGATTTTATCTAGTTACCTTTTCGAAAAAAAGTCTTAAAAATAAGCGGTTTGCGATGGTGATTTTACTTTACTTGATAGGGAAAGGCGTACCGGCAACAACGCAACAGCACACCGTCGCATTTCTCTCACTCCGACTTAATAAGATCCTTATACTTCCACACATGTAAATCTTCTTCTTACAGTGCCATACTCTATATAGAGCGTCGGCTACCTCTCGCATGTACTTGTGATGTGTGTCATCAACGTTTCACAAGTACAAGGGACCTACAGGACCTACAGTTTATTGCCGAATCCGAACGGCACTATTTGAGAGGCTGTACAAGGCAAATATACTAAGGCATAATATATCAAGGTGGTTTGCCATTGCCTTCCTTGAGGTAGCGGCTCGTTGGTCGCTTTATTTAGATAAATAAATATTTTTATTTAAAGAAATAAAGCGACCGTACTGGCTGGGGATCGAACCCAGTACCTTCCGCTCTGCAGATCGACACACTAACGCTGGAGCTACGGCCGGCCACACATGTAAATACCAATCCAAAAGTAACAGTTGCCAGCACGGTATGGCAATAAATATTTCTATTTTAAATATTAAATATTTATCTATATAAAAACTGCTATAAAACGTCGAGTTTTGTCCCAAGCGTGAAGACCTAATCGAACAAATCTAATCGGCAAGCCAGATTGGGCCGTCTAAAATGACGGGGGTTTTGGTAAGTCCGTCGACTAAATCTGCCGACCAAATCGGTCAGCTAATCCGCTGGTGTCTGGGGGGCTAATGAGTTCTGTTGATCCGTTTTTGACACGTGATGCACACTGGCAGCACCACGGAAGGAAAAAAATTGATACGCGATCCAAAAGAGACAGCTCACTTTGGCTCACTTCGAAACGTACCAGTGAAACAAGTCTCGGGGCGGGTACGAAGCCTACACGAAGCGTCTAGTAGTGATAACCCAGCCTGGCATACGTAGAACAAATATTTATAAAAATAACTGAAAGGAGAAATGAGTTTTTTAGTAATAATACAAATTTATTATCCTCGTTTCACAATTGAATAATTAAAAAAAAATTATGCGGTGTCTTCATCCATGGGAGAAGGCGTATCTGAAGTACTTGCGTTCTGTTCGTCACACTCGCTTTCTGGAATACTGTTAAGTGACGTATTCTCTTTATTTGAGTCTCCTATGAAAATGATACAATTTTAGTATATTTTACATAAAAACTCAATTTAGGATCTCGTAAAATAAATTTACCTTCTGAAGATCTTGAAGACTTTTCAGGAGTTTCTGGAATAGTTTCAGGTGTAAGAGATGGAGTTTGTCCTAAAAAATGTTATATAATGTTTCTAATAATCTATTTAAACGAAGCATAGCATATTAAGTATAGTCGAGATGGGCAAAAAATGACTACTAAAAATAAAAAATCGGGTGATACGTTTAAAAATTCATATGTTATGTCCACGCAATTTTATATTGTGTATCTTATCATTCCCTAAAACTTTTCTGTTTAACATTTTTTTGTAAATATAAAAATAAAGAATATAATGAACTATCTATATTCTATCGTTGACTCGCCCTGTACAAGATAAATATCATATTTTCAATTATATATTAGAATATAACTATATAATATATACTTTATTATTATTGAAGGTACCCGGTGGCGTAGAGGTACAGGCTCTCGTCTACCAATCTCAAGGTAGTGGGTTCGAATCCCACACCCGGCATTTCATCAGCCGACTATTTTTATTAAAATAAAAATAGTTTGGTCGACTCAGCCTTAAATGAGTACTTGGGATTCACAATGCTGAGGTAATAATAGGCGGTTGAAGCGTAGTTCTAGCCACATTACCTTCCTTGCATACCGAACGGCTCTAGTATGGCAAGCTGTACCTTGCTACTCCCAAGGCCTTAAACGCTATATACGGCAGCTATTATTATATTATTATTTTTTATAATAAAATGAACAGAAAGACAAATTTGTTGTTTGTTGTTGTAACTATAACCAAATTGTCACTCTAAATCTCTGTCTTTTTTAGACCGATCTCACTTGTCATTATTCAATTCATTATTCAAATTATCAGAATGTTGTTAACAAAAGTTTCATCTTAAAACAAAATTTTAATCAATCACAATTGTTTATCTCCATCATTTACCGGATTAATAATACAGAAATTACAGCTCAATAACAAAAAATTCATTATTTCTAGTGATTTACAGTAATTTAATTAAATTATACGAATATTCTCGTTGATTATGAGTTTGAAATAAATATGACAGTGTCCTTCAATGAAAATGCGAGTTACTAACTCTAAATTCTAATTCTGAGCTGGCAAATGAGCTAGATGCTTTACCTAGACCGTTATTCAGAAGCTACAAACCTATCAATGGAAATATGCATGAAATCAAGATTGGTACAGTATCAAGTTCATTATAGTGATTTTCTTAGCCGCGTATAGCATAGATCGTTACCCAGTGTTGCCACAAGCTTATTTTTCATCGGGGTAGATTATCACGAGATAGCGGTTAATTATAAATTGTTTTACAAAGGGGTAGATCTACCCCGATTGGGGTAGCTGTGGCAACACTGCCGCTATCACTTTTCCTCTCGCTAGCTCGCGCGTCAGGAGGCCAGGACACACGGCCTTGAATTTTTACTCCCAACGCGCGTAAGGAGGTTTCACTTCAAAAATTTCGTGCTGTAGACGCCGGACTCCTGTCTCCATAATATATCTACGACAGTCGAATCACCGCCGGCGCCGCCGCCGTCTTAGTTCTCCTTAAGTGGGGGAGCACCTTAATTGATATAGGAAACTAAGAGAGTGAAATCGCAACCGAAGTTTAATAAAGCAGTAAATTAAAAAAATACGGGCAACCTTAACTGTGAAAAAATCACCTCATGACAACAGCATAACCTAAACGCGAAAATTATCATTAAGGGTAAAAGTCGCATTCACAGGTTAATTTCATTGTAAATAAAAAATCAAATTCACAGTTACACCTGTAAATATAAATTCACGTTTTAGCCCAACTCTAAAGTACAGTCTGTCCAGCGAGAGAAATTCTTGAAACCATATCTATAATGATATATCGGAATCAGTCCGATGTAAACTGTCAACTGTTATACATTTTTTTCGCTGGACAAACTATAAAAACTAGCTTAAATTAAAGCAATAATAACAAGGGACTAGTGTATTTATGAATATAAATATATTGATTACTATAAATAGAATACCTTCAGAACGTTGTGTAGATTCTGACTGTTCCATTTCCTGACTTTCCTGAATTCCTTCAAGTGTTGTATTTTGCTTATTTAAATTTTCTGAAAAACAAAAACATCAAATAAAACCGTATTATTCATACATATTGTACATATTCAAATATACTTTATATAAAAATATTATTGATATGTGAAATATATACCTAATTCAGTATTATTTAGAGTAGGTCTGGATCCATTATCATATAATTTAGGGTTAATAGTTATAGTTTTTGTAGTGTTGTAGGTCTTGTAGATGCCCACGAGATTATCACACAATTCAAACATGTTGGAACGTAGTGAAATAATTATAAACTGTGCATTGGTTGTTCTTTCCTAAAATATACAAAAAAAATTAGCTATGCCTCATTTGCATAGGTAGATCTAAATCTACCAGTAACCAGTAACTACCTACATGTAACCAGTAAAACAGTTTACCTTTATATAGTTTCCTACTATAGATACGTTTCTGAAATCCAAGGCTGCATCTATTTCATCCATAATATACAACGGGGACGGTTTGTAATAGTGTAAAGCAAAGACTAAAGCCAACGATGACAGTGTTTTCTCACCTCCAGAAAGATTCGAGATTTTCTTCCAGGTTTTTCGCGGAGGTCGTACACTAAAATAATAACAAAAAATAATTTATTTCATATTTGAATTTAAGTCGTCCGTAAGCTAATGCATACTTAAATTGAACACCTTCAGTAAACGGGTCGTACGTGTCTACCATTTCAAAATCTGCGTCACCTCCTAAAGTGATCATCTGGTACATCTCTTTCAATTTCAATTTTATTATATTGTACCCCGATATGAACTCCTCCTTCCTCTGATTCCTTAATTTGTCGTACAGTTGCCTCATTTCGGTTCTTTTCAATTCGACCTCCTCAAACTCCTTGGCCCGACTAATATACAGGGTCTCTTTTTTTCTGTATTCCTATAAAGAAAAGGTAGTGTTGTAACCGAATTTAATAAAATATTCTAGCGCGAAGTAACCTTGCGAATTTAGGTATGGAAGTGTCAATTATGAGGGGTGTGAACTTGTATCATATAATCGAAAAAAAAAGGCTTAGAGTTTGATATACCCATTAGAGATGAGCAAAACTGCGATCTCCAATCGCAATTGAAACTGCGATTGCAATTTTAATATTTACTAAACCAAATTATTCGTAAAAAAATGCTTTTTCTAAATATACCAATGAGCCACCCAATTTGAAAAATTTGAGATATGAATAAAAATACGAATTGGGCATCTTTTATTCTTTTAACTGGCCAGGACAAGACGCGAGAAACAATAGACGATCAAACCTATTTTTCCAAGGCATCTTGATTAAAATTAGTGTTTTTAACACAGCTATAACGTTTTTTAAACATTACCACTGCGAACGGCAGCTTTTCATCGGTAGAGCAGTCGTGGATAAGGTATTTCACTGGAAAGAAAACTAATTAATAACAATAAACAAAAAAATATAGATATTGGGCGCCAGGCATGAACAGAGAAAGAAAACAGTTGTATATTACTTAAAACTAATGACTATATTTATTCATGATGGTCTTTGATGGTAAATAACATTGTAAAATTTTAATAATTATAGTGGTTATATGTCGAGGAAAGTTATGTTAAAAATAATATAAAATATGTTCCATGAAAAAGACTATGGAAAAATACAATATAGATAAAGCTATAGAAAATATATAATAGTAGCCATTACTTTATTTAATTTGTTATATTTTGTACGATGTTAAATCCGAGATATTGCAAGTCGTAGATTCTAGAATCTGTTTGGTTATTCATCTGTCAAAATCACGAAATAATAATATACATAGAAAGTAATACCATTACAAGATATGTTCGTAGTGTAACCTAAGGTCTAAATCATATTTTAAATACTAAACTGACATAAAAAATTAACCACTAAGTGTAAAGTCTGTACGATATTATTCAAGACTGAGATGTAAAACATAAAATCCAGAACTTAAATCTAAACTTAGCTGTTCGTTCTTTAGGTAATCCTGCTTCAAACAGTAACAGCGTGAGGTGGGCTTGTATCTCTGCACTCCCCCTCGGCTTTACAACAAAAGGGGCCAGGATGAGGACACCATGAACCAATACAGCCGTAACTATCGACTAGGCTTAGAAATAGGAACGAAGCAGCATGGGGCTTACGCTACATCCAAACTGGGGCAATCTGTACATAGGATAAACATCCGTCCATAGGAGACCTGTCCACAGGAAAACCACCCGTACATAGGGCATCCAACCATAGGATAAACTATCCGTACCTTTGAAATCTGTACATGGGAACACCAACCCGAACCAAACCCGTACCTTGGATAATGTCCATACCTTGGATAAACTAAGCGTATCTTCCCTACATGAGATAATGTCCGTACCTTGGACCCTAAAAATACGAAACTCGTGTTTAAAACCGACCCAGGTATAATAAACACAATAAACCTACCTCGAAATACTTCCGAGGGCTCAATAATAAACAAAAGAACTGTCCTTTCTTCCATTTAACATTCTGGAGGACAAAAGAAAACCAACGTGCCAGCAAACACCAAATACGAGTTGAGTTGGGCCAATCCAAAACTCTACCCTAAAAATACTCAATAATAATATCGAATCTATAAACGATAATATCTCATCTTTACCTGTATCTTCGAAATAAAAGCTGATTCAGATTTTGCAGCAAGATTTAAATAATTACCATTTCTCTAAGCCGGGTTGATGATGGCGACCGAAGGCAAACCCAAAAAGTGAGGTTAAAGCGCAGAGACGCCTTGAAACTTTGAATAAGAAGACTAAGGAAGGAGCATAATGCTATCCATGTATTCATGCATGGTGGGCGGAAAAGCCACCATAAAAGCTCTCTAGGGTGGGGATCCTTGAGAGTTCTGTTTGACGATTCATTTGACACATTTGAATTTGATTTGAAATTTTGTGGATTTGTCAGTCTTTACGGAGCTTATTTTATGTTATTTATTATTTATTCTACACTGATAGTTGTATAAAGGTAGTAAATCTAGATGGAAATTGTGGCAGAACTTAAATTAACAGTGACACTATCGGGATTTATCGAAAAAGACTCTAAAATAGTTGGTTGTGTAGCGTGCGGTAGATCTCGGCAAAAATTGAGTGAAATAATGGAACAACTTTTCGCTAGTAAGTGACTATAGGTATAATATACATACGTGTAGTAAACCGATCATTTATGAAATTCACTTAAATTAACTAAATTATATATTTTTCTTGCATTTTAGCTTTTATTTATTACTTGTCAAAGATTTAATGTCAAAGAATTTAGATATGTTAATTTGACTTACCTGCTTCAGTAGCGTATCGGATGTTTGTGTTAATAAATACTTATTATAACTTATCTATTTTTATTACAATTATATATTTTTATAACAATTTTAATAACTACCAACATTTATTCACAACGTAAAATAAAACAACAAATTATTGAGTCTACCCCACGTCTACCCTACATCATAGTTTTACATTTTTTAAATAAAATTAGAACGACACTGATAAACCGGAATTTAAGTCGGCCATATTTGAGGCCCATCGCGGTGTACCTAAGATTTTTGATATGCTCCTTCCTTAGTCTTCTTCAAAGCCTTGAAACGATGTTGACAGCCCTCCACAGAAGCAGTGAAACGATAACAGGGTTGTCGACCAGAGAACGCCAAAACCACGCCAAGCGTTTCAAATAAATTATCAGGCCTGAACGATACGGAATCCGGTGACGATACGCCATACATCATATGTCCAATATAAAAGACATGTAACGAACTAAAAACGTTACCCAGTCATGACATTCTAGATTGAGATTTAAAATACGATTTTCTTAAGCGAAAATGTCAAAAGTTGCCATATGATATGCCATTCTAATCGGAGTATCATTTTGTATTGAATAAAGTAAAAAAATACAGAGGGTGTCATTTAAAAATTAAAGGTGTAGTCATTTCCGGTGAAACAAGAAGTGACTAGTGATGGGCGGAATCGAATACTTTAGGGAATCGAGTACTTCGGAATCGAGTACAATTTGGAATCGAATACTTTAATGAGTACTGAGTACTAATATCCGAAATTCGAATTGTTAAGTGATTAAGTCAGTTAAATGTATTCGCTAAACTATAGTTTTATTGAATAAAACAGTTTTTATTATTTAAAATATAAAAAAACATTTATTTATTTAACAAAAGAGGAAAGTTGATGTTTTCATACATAAAAAACAAAATTTATCAACAAAATAAGTAATCCGATATTGCGTACATAAAAAATAAGAACACACTTCTTTAATTCTAAAAAACTAAAAACTAAAAACAAAATATGGAAAAATTGCTTAAATTATATAAATTATTTTATTCAAAACATTGAATAAAACAAATGTATATATTTAAGAAAATTCAATCCTAAAATTTTAACTGAAAAAAAAAGAAATATATAACATATTACATTAATGGAAACATTGATTATAATTTATACATTGTTAGAAATCAAAAAACAACATTTTTATCAACAAAATAGGAAATAAATATGTTCGTACCTAAAAAATAATATATATAATAATAATATAATATGTTTTTTAAATTTAAATAGAAAACCAAAAAAATGGTACAAATATTTTCAACGCAGATATTTAATAGTTAAATAAAAGTAATAAATAATAAACAACAAATATTGAAAGCCAATAACAAATTAAATATTTAAATAAACAATTAAAAGCAAAAACATTAGTGTGAATAATAACTATTTAAAAAATAATCTGATTCAAATTTTTGGGTAGTAAGCGATTTCGTCGAACATTGGTTAATTGTCCTGCTTTAGAAAATATTCTTTCTGAAGGGACAGAAGTTCCGGGAATGCTTAAATATTTTTGAGCCAATTCATAGAGTTCCGGAAACATACTTTTGTTTTGACTCCAAAATTCAAATGGGCACTTTGTTCTGTCTAAATTGGGTAGTTGCAAATATTGTTTTACAGTTAACATTGCTGTTGTTGTCGGTGTTACAACGGATTTTTTTTGGGATAATTTGTCATCAAAAAATGCCCAAAGATTTTTAGATGGATCGGATGTTGTTGCTGGTCCTAAAAGGTTTGGTTCGGGTTCAGACGTGGAATCCGCGTTATTTTTTACAATTATTATTTGTTTTACTTCTTCGATTATCCAAGATTCAGCGTTTTTAGAATTTTCTTCCAGTCCAAAAGCTAGACCTTTAAATCTCGGGTCTAAAATTGTTGCCTTCGCTACCATTTTATCTCTTTCAAGTGAAACAAGCCTTCTTCCTATCGCCTCTAATAATGACTGTTTTAATTTTATGCCAACGTCCGTCGTTGGATTTATATGTTGTAAAGTGTGTTGTAGTCCTCTAATTAGTGGGATGATAATAGATATTGTTGGATATTTTTCTGCCGATAACACTGACGTTATAATCTCGATAGGTTTTAGAACTGGCACACAGTCCCAAACAATACTCCATTCCGTAGCGTTTAAACTAGCAGGGGCTTTAGGCAAACTGGATAATATTACAGATAATGCATCTTTGATCTCTAACAGGCGTTCTAACATAAATAAAGTTGAATTCCATCTTGTGGAAACATCCTGCTTAATTTTAAGAACTGGAAAACCCATTTGAATCTGCGTTGTCTTTAATTTTTCGGTAGCTTGTACACTATGTTTAAAATACGAAACTAGTGATCGAGTTTTTACAAATTAATGAAAAGTCTCGTTTTCTTTTATGCTGTCGTTTACGCATAAATTTAAAGTGTGTGCCACGCATGGGTGATTGTGCTTTTTAGGTGTTCATTTATGGCATTTTTTATGTTACTTCCGTTATCGGATACAACTGTAACGACTTTGCCCATAATTCCCCATTCGTTTAATATTTTGGTTAATGTGTTACCAATATTTTCACCAGTATGGGCCCCAGAAATCTCGTCGGTAGACAATACTTGAGAATTTAACTTATCTTTATAACTAAAATGGCATGTTAAACTTACATAAGCAATGTTACTATCCGAGGTCCATATATCCGTAGTCACTGAAACATAGTTCACCTCACACAACATTTCTTTAATGTTTGATTTCACCTTGACAAATTTGTCTTTTAAGAGAGTGTCTGTCAAATATTTCCTACTGGGAACTGAATAAAGAGCGTTAAGGCTCTTAGAAAAGTCTTTAAAACCTTTATTTTCAACAAAAGACAGTGGTTGAAAATCTTGAACAATCATTTTTAACAGCTTTTCATCTATTTCTTTTTTTTTTGTCGTCACTAAGTTCAGTAGTGCTAGAACCACCAAATAACTTTAATTGTTTTTTTCTTTTGGGTTGAGGCTGCGATGGTTCAGAACTTTCATCACCGGTCGCACGGCCTTTTCCTCTCACAATACTTCCTTCTGTGTGTTCTTCTCTCTGTTCCGCAAATGATGCAGGAGGTTCAGTTGAAGTTGAAGCTTCTAAATTATCAATAAGCTGCTTGTACTGGATTGGGTGTAGTCGGGTCAAATGTTTTTTTAAATTTGTAGTACTGCTGTAGAACTTCAACTTATTTTTACAAAGTGAACAAACAGCTTCACTTTTATTCTCCTTTTTAAAAATTTCCCACACGACGGACCTCATTATTATACAGTATATTTAAAATAAACTGATATTTAAACAAATAAGAATTATATCAAACTATTTAACCAACAGCGAAACTCTTTATCGAAATCAAAACCACATTATTCAATACCTCTACGCATCTCAAAAGCAAAAAAAGAACTAAATAAATGCTCCGTTAAAATTTAAACCTATTCTTCCACCCCGAAAAAAACATTTAGGCATTTATATCAGCTCTTTTATGTTTTCTCCAAAACGCCGCCTTTGCCGGCAAAAAATGCTTATTTTATCGTCTATTCTGTGTGACGCGCCGCCAGACGCAAGCCGCCTGCCGCCAGAGCCGCCGGAATTGTTTTAAAATTTTTGAAAATACCCGATTCGAAAAGAAAGTCGAGTTTGGGATCGGTTTTCGATTCCCATGACATTCGGTTCGGTGCCTCGAGATTGAGTACAAAGTACAGATTACTACAGATACCCTAGTTCGAGTTTCGAGTACTGGCCTAGTCGGTCTGTCTCTGTTCTCTATAATATACCACAGAAAGGGGTAATATATCAATGGTTTATGCCGAAACGAATATTTTTTTAAAGAATCGGAATCGATTCCATACTGAACTGAAGTACTCGAGTACTTTCGATTCTCTTAAGAATCGAATACTACTGGATTCCTGTATCCGAGTACTCCCATCACTAGAAGTGACTAAAAACAATTGAATACGTCAATCAATCCTAATTTATGTCATATACTAACATACCAAATCTCGTTTTTTTTATCAGAAAAAATAAAAAAGTTAAAGGGGCGAACGACTCTTGAGAAACACCCGGTATATTATTGATCGTTGCCCTAGAAATTTAAATTAAGAGAGAAAATTAAATCGCAGTTTACTATAAAATGCTTCAAAATTACATTTGCAATCATATCGCAAATCGCAACTCCTAAAAATTCAAACTCACATAAATATAGAAATCACGGACCTAGTTTACAAAATCACAATCGTAGCAAAATCGCAAATCGCAACAAAGTCGCAAATCTCGCACCGCAGCTATAGTAATATTGGTTACCTAAATTGAAACTGGCAAAAAGGAGAAATCGCAATAGCAGTTTCCTATTAGAGTCAATCGCAGGTTGCGAGTGCGACTTTAAAATTGCTGCGATTTGAATAGCAGTTTGCGATTTCTTGCTCATCTCTAATACCCATATAATTTTACGTATAAAATGATAGCGTTCTTCATTTCAAAGTCATCTCTGACGCCGTTTTTTGCAATCGTTTTGTATAATATTTAGAAAAAAAGGTCGTTTAGAGTGAAAAGATCGATACGTATTTACTATTTCAATACCTGACCATCGTAATTTCAGAAAAATATTTTGATAGTGAAAAAATACATAAAAATTAAAACTGGACGAGTCTTACTAAGGGTCTTACTTGAATAATGTGTAAGTTTGGTTTAGCTGCTTTCAAGTGATTTTCTGCGGCTTTTAGTTCTCGTTCTGCGTGCTCAGCATCTTTGTTTTCCAATTCTTCATCTGTAAATTTTTGTAATTCTTCAGCTGTTTGGTTTGGTATATCTTGCAACGTTAGTTCATTTAACTAAAAAAAATACAACTACTTTAATATTATTTCAACAAAAATCATTTTTTTTAATTAAGTATAAACAATTACCTTCGACTCCCACGACCGAATTGCTGCCTTAAATTCTTTTAGTTTCTTATTGTGGATATTAACTTTTTCATCCACATCGATTTTTTCAGATTTCAATTTATTTTCTTTTCCCATAATACCTTCCACTTCTTTTTTTGCCTCTATTTAAAAAAAAATAATAAAATCAAATAGTAGTTAATTCTTATCTTAATTTTTTTATATGTTTTATAACAATATTCTATATTATAAACAAAATACCTGAATATAATTTTTCTTTTTCTTGTAACTGCTCAGTAATTTCCTCGATGCAAGTCAAAAGCTTCTTAGCATCTTCTTCCATCTCGTCTCTCTCCTTTTTCATAGCTCTCAGACTGTTTTCCATTGCTTCAACGTCTTGTTCCATACGAGTGATATTCTCTTTTGTAGTTTTATAATTTCTACAAGTCGGAATTTTAAAAAAACATTGTTGGAACACAAAAAACGATATTAATAATGCGGAATAATCATGTGAGAAGAACTATATTTCTAACCACAGATTAACATACCTCTCTGCTGTCTTCACCGCGACCTTGACTTTCGCCGTTTCAGATTTACACATTTCGATTATTTTAGTGCATTCTTTGATACTGTTCTCGACTTTACGAATCTTTCCTGTCGTCTTCTCTTTGATTTCCTTATTTATCTGATCAACTTGAATTTGTAAAACGCCTAAGAAGAATATTATTATTAATCTTATTCTAGGTGCAATTTTATAAAACTATCATACTCGCTGTTTTAGAAGCGGCATCATAGTCTTTCCTCTTCTGTTCGACAATCGCGGTCAATCTCTGAACTTCTTTTGCATCCGCTTTGGTAGATTTGGACATTGCTTCTTGCTGTTTGATTTGTCTTGCGATATTCGGTTGTTGCTGTTGTAAGCTCTGTACAAAATATTGTTATTATATAAATATTGTATTGCTATTAAAATAAAACTGAATGCCAATTAGGTATCAACGCACAGCCGAAACCGCTTAACGTAAGAGTACGAAATTTGGCACATACGAAGAGCGCACGGGAAAAACGGCGAAAGTCCATTACTAAATTGGTCTTAATGCATAATAACAGCGTGGATAGATGTAGAATGTGCAATTCAGTGGGGGAATCAATAGAGCACATTACGGTCCTATCTTAGCAAATGATGCTTACATACTTGGGTAGACACAGCATATACATTATATACTTTTTTTGTTGTTTATACCATTCTGTGTCCTATAACTTAAGATACTGTGAAAAATAAATAAACCATTTGCGATACTAACATAAAATTCCATATTTTTGACAACTAGATTATTAGTGCATAATACAATTTATGCGACTACAATGGCTTGATGTGACAAGAAACATTTTTTGGAAGTCAGCTTCAGTAAAGTATTCTTTTTCTCAAAAAGTATACACAGTGGCGTTTTTTTACAAGGAGACAAAAAATGCAGTAAATACTAAAAGAACCATTTTACGAAAAAATAAATTGGTCGTTGGTGGGGTTGGAAAGTATTTTTACGAAAATTTATGTAAGTGTGGGGGTAGTTTTCACCCTTTCCGTACTTTTTTCTTGGTTTTGTGAATGTCAAATGATAAAGCACTTACCAAAACTTAGGTGCCACCAATCGCATTCAAGTCGGAATAACGATTTTTAATATAACCTAAAAAATGTGTTTATTTTTTTTAAGTTTGATACCCTCTAACGGACAAACGAAGCACTTTTGTCTGTACTCAATAGCTTCATGAAAAGCTTAATAAATAAATAAACTATAAATTAATTAACATTCGGGTTTATTTTTTATTGATGCCCTCTAACCATAGACAAACAAATAAAAAGAGACTGACAAATCTCATGGTAAAGAGTGGGACCGCGTTCCCGTAGCGCAACTCAGAATAACAATTTTGAAACCAATTAGCAGGACCATGGCAGGACGTACATCTTTATTGCTATCTTTCTTTATTATGTGTGCTTCATATAAAAAAGAAAAAAAAATAAAACGTATCGTAAGACATTATCGCACATTCTGGCTGGCGGGAAATTTAAATTAGCCATTATTAGTAGTATTCTTTCATTCTGAAACTGAAAATTTTCACTTAAACTGATTTATATATTCCCTATACCACGTAAAGGGAACGTGGTGTAGGGAATAAATCAGTTTAAGTGAAAATTTGCAGTTTGTTTCAGAACGAAAGAATACTACTATTACAAGGGAAATTATAAAAAAAAACAAAAATTGTACTGTTTTATAAACATATTTATTTATACATAAAAATAAATAAACTTTTTATAATATAATAACAAAAAATAACAGTGTTTATTCCACCCACCTACCAATTTTGAAGGGCATTAAAAATCTCATTTTCGAAAAAACTTTGCAATAACAAAGTGAATATCCAAGCAAAGAAGACTTTACGAGAATTATGATCCTGAACCATTTTAAAGTCCAGTTTTAATCCTAAAACAAAAGTAAAATAGGTATATTAATAAAGTTTCTGGTTACTATAAACCAGTTATAAACTACCTACCCAAAAAATGAAAAAAATTAAATGTATTGTTGCGGACTCGTGTGGACTCGACCTAACCTAACTATATGTCCCGCCCTCAGATGACCTTAACATCGCATTAAAGAATAGACACCGTAATGATTCATTCGTTCGAGAAGAATCGAGTCCCACTGGAATGGAGTAGTACATACGAGAACATTCGAAACCTTCTCTATGCACCTAACGATCTATGGACTATTCTAGATTTCTTAGCTGTAGGTATAAAAGCCGGCGGCTGTGGCCTAGAGAAGGCAGTCATAAATATACGAGTGCAGTTGACGCGCTAAAATTCAAAATAAATTCTTAGTTATAAATCGTTTATAAAAATTGTTCTATAAGTCTTTTATCGTTATTGTTTTTGTTAGTTAGTGTTAAATAAATAGTGTTTAAATAAATTGTGACTTTCTATCCACACGGAACCGACGAAAAACGTAACAATTGGTGTCAAGTGTGGCGTGTGTGATAGACTTAAAAAAAATAAGACTGAAAATGGCTTCAAAAAAATTGTTGAAGGACTTGAAAGTGTCGGAATTAAAATGAATACTGGAAGAGAGAGAATGTGAGCAGATGGAAAAAAAGTATTTTACAAGCAAGACTAAGAGATGTTCTGATCGAGGAAGGTGAGGATCCTGACACATTTTGCTTTGAGCTGGAAGGTGACCTTGACTCGTCATTGAAAAATTTACAAGACAATTTAAACGACAATTTGAACAGTTTAAATAATAAAATTAGTGAAAATTCGCAAAAATTAGAAGATAAAATTATGGAAAATTCCCAGGATTTGTAAGAAACTTTAAATGATAAAATGAATATTTTAGAAGATAAGATCGCAGAAAATTATAAAGACATACAGGCCAGCTTTAATAATAAAATACTGAATTGAGAAGAAAGTTTATATAACAAGATAACAGAAAACTCCAGGGAATTAGAAGAAAAGATAATAGATACACAAGACAAAATAGCACAGATTGAGGACGATGTTAATAGAAAAATCGAAATTTTGAAAGAACAAATAGCAAAGGCAAATTCATCAAAATGTCAAGAATCATCGAAGGACTCCAAGTAGCATCTATCTGACTTTGAACTAAATCTGACCTGAAGCGACGTCAGACTTGTGCAAATTTAGGTCGGGTGCTGGTGATACGACCTGTGACGTCGCTTTCCTATTAAAAGCGACGTCGTTGGATCCGAGTCGGTAAATCCAACGATCTGTCGACGTACAAAATAACAACGTACCATTTTTATTAATTTCCCAACGTCGTTCCCACGTTGGCTTGCACGACGTACATATACCTGAACTAGCCCGACGTCTACCCGTTGTCCGAATAGGATACGTCATCCCTAAAGTAACGTCCAATTATATTTTGTTGTATTTTATGTTCATATTTATAACCTAATTTACGTATCTCTATTTACGTCCGTAAATACAACCCATTAAGTAGCATTTGCGACCTAATGAACATCATGAACATAACCTAATAAAAGGTTTTTGTAAACAAACTTATGCCTAAAAAAACACTAAAAAGGCATTTAGACATTCATCTACATTTTACAGAAAGAGGTCGAGGCTTTTGCAAAATAATAATAGTAGTAGTGATGTCTTGCCTCCACTCATAAATGATTTTTATCCGGAAGAGATGCTGCATTACACTGGTGCATCTTAATTACATTTTTTAGCTTAGGAAACCAGCAGACCCCATCCTCCTCCCGCATGTGAGGTTAGGCTTAAAAAAGTGGCTGCCCATTTTTTTAAGGAGAAAACAAAAACTAAAATATAGTTGCACAAATCCACAAATCACTGATACGCAAAGTGAGGTTACGTGGCGTACGTTGGAATTATATACGACATAATACGATTGCCGATCGTCCGGTTTGATGACTTCGGTCGTGTGAGACGACTAATGTTGGAGACCCGGTTGAAATTGGTATATTGGTAGTTCATATTAAGTCGGACACAGAAATCCGCCATTCTTAACACGTATCCGATTGTCAGCCATTTTAAAATTGTTTTTTGTTCTTAAAATTTATATTCACATTTCGATTTCTAGTAGAATAATATTGATATGTTGAGTTTGGGGGGAACCACAGTACACTTTTATGATTAAACCAGTTAGAAAATTAAAAAAATATTTTGCGAGTAACTTTTTTATATATATTTTTATTTCATAAATCTACCTAATTTTGAAGGCGCTCGTTGTTTTCCGGAGTATTTTAATTAGATATATCAAAAAAGTGACTTCCGTTGACAAAACTGATGTCTGGATTAATGATTCAGAATTATTATAATATGAAATTAGATAGGCACTTATAGTTATATTCGAGGAGTGATTATGAATCCATTTGTAATTAGGTAGTTTGGTTAGGTTTTTATGTATTCTAGGTAGCGAATATGAAACCAAACGTAACGTAAGTGCTTAGCGACGAATTTTAAGTAACTAAAATCCAACGTAATATGACGCTGGTAATTGGTAGAATTACATTCCCTATTAGGTTAGATACCGACGTCGAGGCGACCCGAATCTGTATTCCCCATTTAGGTGCAAATAAGGGTCGTCGGGCGGTCGAACCGACGTTGGTACCCGACGTCGGCGTCGGGTTTATTGAACGCGACGTATACCCGACGTTAGATAACGTCCAAATGCTACTTGGGACCCGACACTCGTCGAAAATAAGTATATCTCAAAGTCAGTTATTAAGCCTCCACAGTTTTACGGAAAAACCGCTTGGACCAATTATTTTTGCCAGTTTGAGGCCGCTGCGAGAGCGAACGGATAGACAATCGCTGAAAAAGCTACCGCTTTGACTGTCGCACTGCGAGGAGATGCGACTGACATCCTGCAGACACTGTCACCATCGGAACAGGGAGACTATCAGCAATTGGTACGACATTTAGAAATGAGGTACGGCCGAGCTCATGGAAGCTCAGGGAACATGTCTATCATTCCCAGCTAAAAAATCGCATTCAAAAGTCAAATGAGTCTCTGCAGGAGTTTGAAGCCGACGTAGCTCGCCTCGTTCCCCTTGCGTACCCTGCTACGCCCGAGAATGTTATGGAGCGGTTGGCAGTACAGGCATTCTCCGACGGCTTACGTGACAGCGAGACAAGGCAAGCGCTTCTTCTAGCCCACCCAACGCTCTTGGTAGATGCTCTAGCACGTGCCCTAGAATTTGAGGCCGCGAAACAAAGTTCTCGGTCTCTAGTGAGAGTACGGGCGGTCAACCAATGTTTCGACGAATCCGTGGAAAGCATTGTACGGAAAGTCATGGAGGAGTACATGGGCAAGAAAGGACCGACTTGTTGCTGGAATTGCGGCCAAGCAGGACAGGTAAGAAGTCACTGTAAAGAAAAGCACGTGGA